AAATCCACCAACCCATGAATGAAACATCACCCCCACCCCCCTGGGAGCTCTCTGCCTTGAGGGGCAGGAGAGCTGATCTCTGGCTCCAAGCTCCTTAGTCTCCCTTGGTGATCAGGTCCTCGATGTAGGCATCCAGCTCATCATCTGTGTTGATGTCTATGTCCTAGAATAGAGCAGTGCAGGGTCAGCTGGAGGCCATAAGGTGGTGGGGGGCCCACCTCTCCACCCTTCTTGCAGCCTGTGGGGCCTGAGCCCAGAGTCCCCTCTTCTCCTCCTTCCTTTCCCCCCGCACCCTGGCTGTCAGCCCTCTCCCCTCCCTCTTGATCATTCCCCACCACCCCCAGCCCAATCCTCTGTGCACAGATGACGCCCAGATTTTCTGCCTCTGCCCTAACTCTACCCCCAAGTTTCAGGTTGCCTTAGCTGTGCTGCAGGCTTCTCAGACTGAATACATCCAAAACAACTCAAATGTACCCCAACCCAAGCTGTTCCCTTCTCAATACACACCACCATCTTCTCTTCACCCAGTGACTGAAGACAAGCCACAAGAGATCACCCATTTCTTCCCTATCTCTCAGATATTACAGATTTGCCCACTCCCTCCATCTTCACTGTCACCATCCAAGGTTCAGGAGACCAGAATCTCTCACCCAGATAACTGTGGGAACCTCTTCAATGTAGTCCTGGGTTCTAAACTCCACCCTCTCCAGTCCTTCTTATAACCAACCATAGTGTCTTAGATTGCAAGCTGAATGATGCCACACCCTTCCAGTGACTTCCCACTTGATAGAGGCCCTACTGCTTCTCCTGCTGCCCACAACTCCCTGCCTTGGGCCTAGAGTCCTGCTCTTCTCTCTGCCCAGAGCATTCACATTCACTCTTGCATGACTGGTTCCACTCTCAGCTCAAATACCTCAGAGAGGCCATCCATAAACGCCCTGGTAAAGTTGTCTCCCCTTTTTCTGTTTCTCATTCTCTTTACTTCATGACACTTCCCACCATCAATAATTCTATCTCCTCCAATAGACTGTGAAGTTGTGAGAGCAGGGACCTATCTTGCCTGCCTGGTTCACCCAGTATCCACAGGACAGGCACAAAGTAGGCCCTCAGTGTTTACTGCCTGGATGAAGGACTGAGACCCTACAGGGCACTCCCCACTTCTGGGCCACCCAATCCCATCTGGGCGTCATCTGGAAAAGTGAGAACTTTCTATTTTATGGCTTGAAGAATTCTCAAACCAGGTTGTATATCAGAACGTCTAAACAAGGGCAAAAGTCTGATACCGTGGGTCTGGCTGGGATGAGGCCCAGGCAGCCGCACCACCTCCAGCCCTTCTGGTCAGGATGCTGTGCAGCCAGGGTTGGAACCACAGATTCCTGTGAGTGGGGAGAAGCGAGCAAGAGGTGCCCAGGCCCCCCTCCCTCAGGCACCAGGTGGTCCAGCTGCAATGAGAGGGCTGCCTGGCTCACCTCCTGCACCTTTTGTAGGAGCGCCACGATGTTGGTCCTCAGCTTCTGCAGCTTCTCCTCTGTCTCACGGAGCTTTTTCTCGGAGGAACGCAGGCTCTCCTCAGAGGCCTTGGCCCGCGAGTCAGCACGACTCTGGTAGGAATGGCACAAATTCTGGAGCCCCACTTCATACTGCTTGAAGTACTCTTTCTGTCAGAAGGGAAGCCGGAAAGTGGGTACATGAGTTCAAAGGGGTGCTCAGGGCCCTTTTAGATGAGCACTTGGTTTCCCCAACTGGCTTGGCACAAGGAGGCTGGACCTGAAGAAATGTCAAACACGAGGGGCAAGCAGTCTCCCTAGTTCCAAAGTAGAACGACCCTGATGCCCATCGCATGGGGCTGCCATGAGGACAAAGACAGGATCACACATGTGAAGCACTCAGCAAGGTGCTTTAACAGACAGCAAGCCATAAGTAAATGTGAAGGATGATTCTTACCATTCCAGGTGGCACAAAAGGACAACAGTCATTCTTCCAGCTCCATCATACCTTTCTAACTTCACAGCAGCCCTTTCAACAATTCATTTCCAAGTCAGCCTGACAATGTCAGGATCAAAAGTTCTCTTCCTCTAATATTTACCAAGCAACTACCAACAGCAGATAGCTCCAGATTTGTGTAGTATATTTATACAGCATCAGTTTTTAGTAACTTCCCTGAGTCCCTGGAACTTCCAAGGGGTGGGGAAGTAATGTTAACTAGTTTCTGTAGACAGGAGGCTTTTCAAACTTTTAAAAGATAGCAGAACACTTGTTTCAAATGAAATTTTACATGGAATCTCAGTGTAAAAACCAATTTAGGTAGTATCTCTAGATTATATTTCTTTTCTAAATTCAAACTTACAGCACCATGATCAACTTATAAATTACCAATGAGAATGATAAGGCCATTTAGATGAACCAGCAGATCCTGGCCAACCACTGCAGTTTTATCTCTAGCATTTATTTACTTCTATGAAGAGGAATGAGCTACCTAGCATTGGGTGGCTCCTGATTGCTGGTTTTAAAAAGTGTTACTGGCAAGTATTTAACTGTGTCGTTCTCCTTACAATCCAGATTGTTATTCTATTAAAGCAATAAGGCAAGAAAAACTTCAAGTTCTGCACACAAAAAAATTACTTTGGCAGCATAAAATAAATGTTCAAACTGCTCCAATGTATTAAAATTTAGTATACAATGTCTTGAACCTGTGATTTGTATTAGTTTAACTTTTAAAGTAATCATAGATTCTCTCTCACACACACATATATGTATCTAATATTTGAAGGACGCTTGTGGACTATATGGAACTCCTGGTCCAGCATGATGGGAAAAAGGATGATCATTTAGACTGACAAGGACATAATGAACATTAGACTCTGTTGTGTCTCTAACATTAAAAAAATTAAAGTGAGTTCTTTTGGACATTACAATCAGGAGGACATATAAAGTTCATGCATTGGTGATATGCCTCCTTTTATAAGAATAAGCTAACAGACTATATTAGGCTCACGCGCTCCTATGTTTTGGTCTGAGCAGTAGAGCCCACTGCAGAGATCTCACTGCATCCAGGCTTTGCTCTGAGTTTGGCAAAAACGTTAAGATAAAAGCAACAAATCTGGCAAGAGGAAGCCAGGCCATAGCCTATCAGCTATTTGTTCCTGGAATCTGCAGGGCAAGAGTTGAAGCATGGAGCTTTCTGTGAAGCTGTCACGAGTTCTGCTATCTTCTAGCTTCCTCAGTATGGACAACCCCCTCTCATCTCACAGGGAATCATGATGGCACCATGGGAAGAGCAAGACCCTTGTCCTAAGGACTGCCTGGGTTAAAAGCTGGCTCAATTACAACAGACTCTTCACCTCTTGGAGACTTAGTATCTTAACTCTTAGCCTCATTTCCTTAAAAATGGAATGGAAATAATACCCCATATTTTTCTCTCTGGAAAAACTTATCCAGAACGTAGCTGCCATACAAGCACCCACATCTTGAACATACTAATCCTGCAGTGTCAACTCCAGTCTATTCTACAAAAACCTCCTTCAAAAACTTAGCTGTTCCTACCATGAAAACATCTCACTTGATGTGGACAATTACTAGATCCCCATCTCCAGTCCTGCCGTTCCCACTCCCAAGCACCAGTCCCCAATCTCCATCTGCCCACTGGACATCACCAGAAATTTAGTGTCTGTACTTCCAGCCCAACACAATTAAATCTCAACTAATCTTCCTCTGATAAAAGCTGTTTCTTCTCCCAGTTAACAGCCTTGTCATCAACTTCCAATTCCCACAGGCCTGAGACACAAAGAAGCATGTGGCCTCTGCCTCCTCCCCAATCACTTGCCTCTTGACATGTCCCTTTCACCTGATGGTCCTCTCTCACCACTCTGGCTCTCCTTCCCATTCCCTCACCTCTGACTTTTTACAACTATACTGGCCTCCTTGCCCCTGCATCTCCCATCCACCCATCCTACCTAAACATACTGCTACGAGAATTACCTTCTCAAGGGCAGAGTCAACAGACTTAGGCCCATAAACCAAATCAGCCTGCTGCCTGTTTCTGTAAATAAAGCTTTTTTGGAACACAGCCACATCTTTTCCTTTACTTATTGTCTGTGGGGACTGTCAGGCTATAAGAGTGGGATTGAATACTTGCCAAAGACTATGTAGCCCACAAAGATGAAAATATTTGCTAACTGGTCCTCTACAGAAAAAGTCGGTTGACCTCTGCCCTAGACATGATTGACAATTCCATCAGCTCAAACATTTTGCTGGCCCTCGCATCTCCTACAGAGTTTAAGCCACTGTGCTTAAGATTGCACATTCAAGATGCACCATATCCTAGCTCTCAGGCCCCTTCTATCTTAAACGTTCACCCCCTACCTGTTGTCCTGACCTCCCCCACCTGCCCTTTCATCTCTCTGGGCATTTGCTCACGACAGTCCCCTCGTCTTAAACTCTCCCTGTCACTTACACAGGCACTTGCCAAAACCCACGTTTTCCTCAAACTGAGTTGCTCTCCCCTGTCCCCAACACTGCCCACATCCACAGCACTTACTGCTCTCCACCTTCACATTCAGCTACTTTGTAAAAATTCAGTCTCTAGAATCTTAAGCCACTTGGCAAGACATTTTTGCTGCTAAGAGGTCCAGCAGGTCCAGCAGAGTCTGTTGTAATTGAGCCAACTTTTAACCCAGGCACTCCTTAGGACAAGGGTCTTGCTCTTCCCATGGTGCCATCATGATTCCCTGTGAGATGAGAGGGGGTTGTCCATACTGGGGGTTGTCCAAATGCCACATCAGCATTTGCTGGGTTAAATAAGACTCTGCTTATTTTCGCACATCATGAGCTTCTTTATACTTCCCTCTAAGAGAGTCGAGTTTTAGGCACTTTGAGCCTAAGTTCTTCACTGTTACCTGGGACAGATCTACTATCCCTAAGTGAGGACTCAGGCCCGGAGTCTCACGACGCCAGATCATATCCTCCAATTAAGCCACTTCTTTTTCCTACAATATAAAGTCTCCTCTTCCCTTCTCTCAGCGTAATAGCTAACTGAGAGGCCCACAGCTAAAAGATGCCAACCACAAGCACCAAGAGGGGCACACACAGTGTAAAATCAAAGGTCAGGCCAGACTCACCAAAGGAAATGATATCAGCTCATCTGAATTCATAGCACTCAGCTCCTTCTTGGAGATGGGGAAACTTGGAGGCAGGAAGTACCGTAAACAATTCCTAAACAAGAAAGACAAAGGTGGGGACAGGAAGTCAGAATGGCATGGAGGAGTAGAGAGCTGCTGCTGGCCCTGGAACAGGACGACAAACACACCGGAGGATTTGGACGAGCAGGTCGATGGTCTCGTGATTGGTGCTCGGAGCAGTAGTGTCAGGCTCGATGCGAATGCAGTCAGAAGTGGAGGGCTCTGCCACGGCCACAGCCTGCTGGGCCACCGTGGTCTCTTCCTCCTCCCCACCCTCCTGCTGCGTGTCAGGGCTCTGATACTCCGGAGAAGGGGGCTTCATCAGCCGCACATCCTCACTGTCTTTTTCCACCCTAGGGAGAACATAATGCTTGTGTCACATGTCTTCTGGGCTCCCAGGATGGGATACCACCTCCCCCTGCCCTGGGCAACAGTCAACCCAGCCTCTCAGAAGGGGCATTACCAGCGGTCTCTTGGTGTTGTGTCTGTGGGCACGTAGTCAAACTTCACCTTCCACCGCACGACATGCTTGCCCACCTCCACTGCTGTAACACGGCCTGTGTACCACTCCCTGTTCACACGCACCTCCACGTGCAGCCCTTTATCTGAGAATGGAAATGGGGTGGAAGTCAGAAAACTACAGAGACTCCACACAGCCAGGGCCACCTCGAATAAGGTCACCCTAGGATTTGCAGGGACAAGAACCCCTAGGTGCTTGCCCCCACTATGCCAGAGACATAGAGCCCAGCCATCTGGGTTTCCTTCACCATCTGTCATGAGAGTGCCAAAGAGCAGCAGAACAAGTGACTACCAGAGGTGCACGCCAAGGAATTAGTGCTAAAAATATACACAATAGTGGCTTTCTTCAGAATTCTTCTCGGAATTAGACTTGGAACCACTGTAGCATGAAAGCCCAAAGCCAGGAAAGCCTCCATAAGCCTTTGGGGTAAGCTGCTGCTGGCTGAGGTGCCCCATTTTCCCCATAGGCTACCAGATACACCTCCTTGAACTTACCTTTCTGAGCCTTCTTGAGGTCAGCTGAATCCTCTTCCTCAGCACTGTCTGAGAGCTACAAGGAGAAGAGTCTGTCAGAGTCATCCCCAGTGTCCCCAAAGAGTGGACTTTTGCATGACTCGCTGCCCAGGGTCATCAGCCATCATGTTCATGTTGTCTTACACAGCAGTTTAAATCACCATGCCTTGCTGAGACCCACTCCTTAAATTACTACCTTAGGTAACTGCACTTCTGCTACCCTTATAAACAAGATAGCTGACAAAGGGCAGAATGTCAAAGACACAGGAAGCAAGGGTTTCAAGCCTCCCTGATCTGCACCAGTGTGACCTCAGACCTGTGCCTAGAGCCAGAAGGCAGCCACACTCTGGATGCTCCCTGGCACCATGTTTCCAGTCATCTGCATGACTGAGAGGCCTTCAGAGATGGACTGCATTCCTGGAAGGCTCATGTCACAAAGCACAAACAGAGCTGGTACAGACTGCAGGTACAGACTACAGGGGCAGTAGAGACCCTGAGGGGGGAGTCTCTAAGAACCTCACCTTGACCACCTACCTCATTCAAGTCCTTCTTTTCCTCTTTCACAGCAATTTTGCTCCGCTTGGACCTCTCCTTCCTCCTTTCAGCCTCTTCTTCGGCTTCTTCTTCATCAGAGACCTCTAGGGTCCGCTTCCGACCAGGCGTGGCCTAGAGCAAGAGAAAAGGGACTATGAGAGTCCTGTCAGTCCTTGAGGTACAAAAGATTCCATTTTGCCTAACAGGGCTTCAGAGAGGGGCCTGTATAGCTGAGCACCCCCAGACATGACTCAGTACACAGAAACCTCTTGGCCTCTGTACCCACGAGGACTTTTACTCAAAGCTGTCACCAGGGAAGCCTCTCAATCCACTTCACACTTGGCTTGCCTGGCCAGCCACCCTGGCCAGCCAGCTGTGACCACCCTGAGACACACCAACCACTTCTGCAGCCCACCAATCTATGCCCAGTGTGAGAAGCCAGTAGAGGTGATTCAAGTTTGTGGCAGACCAAAACTCAGAGAGAGCAGTGAAAAGCTCTCTGAACAAGGAACCAAATCACTCTGTGCCCCTGACCGAGTCCCTTCAGCCATCTGGACTTCTCCTCAGGGGCAGCAGCTGGTCTCCACTGAGGCACTCCCAGAACAGCTTTGACACTTCCTGACACCACTCCTATACAACTGAGGGTGGGCTGGGAGCTGGGGAAAGTAAAACATCTTACCGGGGAAAGTTTACTGGGTGGCTCTGACTTCTTGACTACTGGAGTCTTGATGGCTTTGGGGGCAGGAACCTCCCGAGGGCTCTTAGAGTTGGGCAGCAGAGATGATGACAGAGGCTGCACCAGTGGGGCAGGCCGGGGTGCAGTCTTGACCTGAGTGTTAGCATGCTTTCGGGGTGCCTCGGGTGGCTGGAGAAGCCTGGATGTACAGGCCTCCTCCCGGGATACCAGGGCAGAAGGCTTTAGGGTGCTGCTGCTGACAGGAGCCTTCCGAGGATGGCTGGCTGGCCTGGGAGGTTGCAAGGAAGGGGGTCTGCTTGGGGCATTCTTGATCACAGCAGGTAAAGGAGGTGACCGAGGACGCTGAGGTCTACGTGCAGGTTCCTAAAAGAGGCCCAGGGAGAGTAAAAACAATGATCCTAGCACAAGACACCTGAGGAAAAGTTCCGTCTCCTGCCCTTGGGCTTTACCTCAGTGGAAGGTCTGGTGGTCACTTCCAACGGCAATTTCTTCAGGTCAGCTTGGGAGCGGATGGGTGTCGTTTTCTGCGGGGAAAACGTGATGATAAGGTTGTCTGCCTGTCTTGGTACATTCAAGTAAACTTTTTGGATCCCTACTATGTGTCTAGGACAATAGGCAAATAAAAAAGAAAACCGAGGCCCCAGTCCTACTGTTACATGAGTCTCCCATGCTCACTGACTGAGGAGACAAAAAAATATGCACAGACACTAAACCATCAGCAAAATGCAGCATTCTGTATGATTAATCCAGCAATTGGGAGACTGGGAAAAAGTGTCAATGGACTCAATTCCTATAAAAAACATCAAAAAAGGTGGGAAAGGCCTGGTCTGATCAATAAGACCAGAAAAGACGGTGAGATTCAGCAAACAGGGATACATGCATAAGCCGTCCGAACTAGTGAGAATTTCTGCAGACACAGAAACCAGAAAGCAAAAAGCTTTTATAATACATATGATAAAGAGTTAATACCACAAATATGTCTAAAAAACCCTGACAAATCAATTAAAGGGAAAAAATGAAATATGAGAATAAGCAATTCTAAAAGAAACATAGACACATGGAAAAATTGTCAATTTTAGAAATATAAAAAATTCAAATTATAAAATGTATACCTCTATCAAATTTGCAAAAACGTTTAAAAATAAATGTACTACTGATTTAAAAAGAAACAGAAATTAATATATCTTCTGGAAATGCTTTTAAAAGCCATAAAATTTTATAAACCCCTTTATTCTTTCAAATTCACTTCTAGAAAATTATGCCCCAAAAAATAATTATGCACTAAATATATACGTATGTATATGTATATCATGTGACATGTCGTGATCTCTATATTACTATTAAAAATACATATGTATTTATGTGTATGTAAGCAATCATAAAAAGCTGGAAGAATTTGTAGTTAATAATGGTTATGTCTAAGGTAGGATATTTGTTTTCTGGAGTTTTAAAACATTCATAAATTAATTAAACCACTGTAATATAAACAAAAAACTCTTTTTAAAAGAATAATCAGGGTGTACTTGAGAACCAGTGTGCCTAGAGGTTGGGATTTGGAAAGCTTTGGCAGTACTCATGGGTGAATGAAGAGAATAGGGGAGCCACTGAGGGTTGAGAGAATAGGGGAGCCACTGAGGGTTGCTATCCCATCCCCAAAAGACCCTTGTCACAGGCTAGCTCTGCGCACTGCCCATGACCACACACCTGCAGGGCCTCCAGCTTCTCCTGCTGTTGGCGAATTTTCTCTGTCAACTGCTTTTGCTTCTCTTCCTGTGTCTTCAGGTCCTTTCTGAACGTCCCCAGTGGGACCTTCTGCTTCTGTTCAGAAGCCTCACACCTGCAGAAAGAAGGTGCTAAGGAGGCTATGGCAAACCAGGGCTCTAGGTGGGGCAGGGTCCTATCTCCTCAGCCAACCTATACTGTCTCTCAGAGTAACCACCTCAGAGTTCCCAAGTGCAAAAAATAATTATGCACGGAATACTCACTGCAGGACACACCTCTATTTTTACCTCCAGGGCACTTATTATGTGCAGCAACATAGATGTAAAGATGTGAGCGCTGACCTCAAGAAACGTAGTGAGTTATTTATTCAAAGAGTGGTGGGAGAACATGGTGGGAGGATGGAGATACCTACAATCTCCCTATAAGAGAAAGTGCTCACCGGTCCTGCTCAGGATCAGGGTTCATGGAGCAAACCCAGGTATCAGGGTAATCTTTTTCCACAGAATTCAGCTGAAAGGGGAGGGTCCGCCACTTCAGACACAAATCTGTAACACAGAAAACACACCCCACAAAGTCAGTCATGCCTACCAACAATATCTACAGTCAGGCTCCTCCTAGTCAGGTCCAAGGCAAAGATCTTCACTCTGGCTCCAACTCTACGTTCCTTACAGAACAGTAACTCTTCTCAGGGACAGTGATTCCAGCAAGGATGGAAACTTTATACTGTGGACTCTCAACACCCCTAACCCCTCTCCCTCCTCCACTAAGATGCTGGCTCAGTCTACACTTGTACCATTAACAATGTGGTACCAAACCAAGTGAGGTCTAGTAGGTTAGATGACCTGCCTCAATCAGGAGGGACAGACTAAGACTGAGCTCTCAGGTCCATCACTGAACATCATCATATCCTTAGTGGGACTGTAAGTCCACGAATGTCAGTCCCACCAGGAGACCAGTACAGGGATGGAGAGAAAAGAGGACCATGAACTATGACAGAAAGGAGTCAGGAAGAGGTTCCGACCACTGACTCACCACACTGGATGGTGGTTGGGATTTCCATAGCTCTCCGGCGTTTGTAACGCAGCTCGCTGGATGGGGGCTGGTTCCAGTTGGCAGAGAGGTAGCCAAACTCATCCCAAAACTTGATGATTCCCCGCTGGGCTAGAAGGCAAACAAACACCCACACACCTCCTTAGGAGCCAGCCTCTCTTTCTAATTTCACCCCTCAGGCAGTGAGAGTATACTAAGGCTGGAGGTGAAGAGAAAGGCCATTACCAATGGCGATGTCCTTCCAGTACTGTGCCAGGTGCTCCCCCATTGCCCGCAGCAGGTGCCGATACTCCTTGGCATCAGCAAAGTCCTGTTTGTTGTGTGTAGGCTCCAGGACCAGGTAGGGCACATCAACGACCCCAACGACCCCGCCACATGCCCTGCCAAGAGAAAGAAGACACAGCTTTGTCATCCCACTGGCCAAAACCCTCCCGCCATCCACCCTGTGCTGGGAAGCTCTCCTGGGGCAGTACTCACATGCCCCCTTCCAGCTGTGGGCCCACTTTCTCATACATCTTGATCAAGCGGCTACAGTTGTAGATGAACATGCCATCCAGGTCCCGGTGTTCAATGTTGACCCCAAAAACAAAATTCAGTTCCTTAGGTTCTTTAAGCGCTCTGGGAAGACAAAACATAAATTCAAGAAAATCAACTCATTGACAAGCAAATACCACAGTGTTTATTTAAGATGTGTTAAGCTCAAACTTAAGATGTGTTAAGCAAAAAGTTTTGCATTTTCATTTAATGTATATAACCTTTTAGATTCGATAGGAATATGCACTGTGCAGTGACTCTAAGCATCCCTCATTAAAAGCTTATGACTTTGGCTTCTGGTAACAAAACAGACAGATTTAGGTGTGAATGGGATGCTGTAAAGCTGCTGCAAATCTGTGAGTTACACAGTGGTATAAACACAAGGTTTTCTGCATATTTACTCCACTAATGTGACATTAATTATTTTTGAAAAGGCAAAAATTCACAAGAACATTGAGAAAAGAGACCATCATGTGATAAATGTCAACAAAATAAGGGAAGCTGAAAAGCAAATGGATGTGCAGTGGACTGACTCATATGGAAGAAACCCGAAACCTACACCTGTGACAAGGAGGCCTAGAAGAAGCAAGCCAAGAATTCAAGGCCCAGAGCCCAGAGAGGCTCCACACAGAGGTGGGACAGGAAGACAATTTAACAAGCCAGGACAAATGCCCATTCTAGATTTACAAAAGAAAAAAGAAAAAAAAAAAAAAGGTCCAGAACACAATCTATAGCATTATTCCACAACTGTAAATAGGGATAAAAAATTAAGAATAGATATCACCAGGTGACAGAAGTATAGGGAAGTTTAAAAACCTTTTTTAATGTTCTATATTTCACAAGTTTTATACAATGAGCATTTTATAGATCCTTTAAATGGAAAGAAAAAAGGAAAGGGAGGGAAGGGGGAGAGGAGATGAAAAGGGAGATGGGGAGAGAGAAGAAGAGGGGAGAAAGAAGGGAGGAGACACAAACAAATGAACAAGTGCCAGTGAGAAGGGTTTGGTGTTCAAGGTGTTGGCCCTGCCGTGCCTTTTTCTAGCTCAGGAAAGAACTGAGCTAGGAAAAAACCATTCTCCTACAGTAAAAATTTGACAAGCATTTGGCATCACATTAATGACTTTCTCAAAGCAATCTTTGGGACAGAATGGCAACCTTGCGGGGTGGGGAGCGATTCCTCAAGCTCTTTTGTCAATGATCAGTACAAAAGCTCCATAATTTTAAAAGATCAAAGGCTAGCCCTGGAATTTACCGCTGCTTGGCCTCCTTGATCCGCTTCTTGACATCAGCTTCTCTACGCAGGGTAATGGCTGTGTTCTGAACCTGACGCAACATAACCTGGAAATGAACGTCGGCACTAAATGAGGAGAGGTGGTGCTCTGGGCCACAGCAGGGAATATTACAACACATCTAAAACCTCTTTCTTTAAAGCACATGGATGCAAAACTACACCAAAAGATTTATTTCGTTTCTACAGAAAGCGGAGACAAACTCAAAAGCTGTGTTTTACTTGACCAGGCTCACTAACATAATGGAAACATCCCCAACTGAAACAAAAATCTATGGAGGCGTGTATCAGACAGGGAGGGGCGCTCTGACCCTTACCACTGTGTGACCTGGAGCAAGTGACACTCTTCAATTTCTCTTTCTATAAACTGAGAATATTAAGTGTTCTCACATCATATCATTATTGGCATGTTGATTCTGCCATACAGTGTGTTCGATAGTGATTATGGAAACATCATAACATCCCATAACATCCATAACATCCCATTTTCCAGCATTAGAGCAAGGGATTTATGACCGTCCTGGGGCTGAGCCATGCCAGCTCTGGGATCCCACTACCAGAAATGCTGGAGAACAGCCGCAGAGGTCTGGGGCCTTACCCTAGTGTCCCGTGTGAGGTCTCCGCCTAAGCGTACTTCTAATGTCCGAGCTTTGCTCTCTGCCTCCCGCGCCTTTTCTTCAGCTGAAATCCAGAAGAAACCATGATAAGGAATTTAAAGGTTTAAAACTCTTAGTCATCCCTCCTGGATCCCATACTGCAATCCCTGCTCGAAAAGACATGTGTGTACACTGTCAAGGAACAGGAGAACCAGTGAGCAACCTCTCTGCTTGAACTACAAAATAGATTCAAAAACAAATAAGTAAAGGATGCCCAATGAAAACAGGCATTATTTATACCTGAGAAGTGCTTTTCAAACTCTACAAATGAATCAGAACAGGTCAAAAACCGCCCAAGGCAACCAGAGTTAAACCCTCAGCAGGAGCTAGAAGTTATCAAAGTCCTCATCCAATTACTCTCCATTAAGCAGCCAAGAAGCCCTGTGACCATGACAGACCTTGAGGTTTTTGCCCTGGAGTCATAAAAACCAATTTCACAAATATTTGGGCCAGAGGACTGTGTGGGATTCTTCACGCTGGGCAAGCCCGGGAGTTGACAAATGGCTGCTTAAAGGCAAGTGGAGTCTGGGGAGAAAAACTGCTGAGGAGACTGGCATGCATTGGAAGGGGTGCAAGAGAACAGAATGTCCCAGGGTGGTGGATGGAGACTTTTCTTGGATCCTGCTTTGGCAACAAGCAGTGTCCCCCAGGCAACCCTCACCCAGTCCCTCCTGCACAGTGGGGGTCATTACCAATCCGTGCTACATGCTCGGCTTTCTTCACCTCCTGCTCTGCACGGGTCTTGAAACGGCTTGACGTGTACTTGTACATCCTGAACAGGGCAAAAAGCAACCTGAGGTGCCAAGCAGCAGCAGGGCAGGGCAGCAACCCAAGCAGCACAGGAAGCACCCTGCCTTCCTGCCTCCCCCCAAGCTGCACTGTCCTGGCCTCACAGGATGAGTCATAGCCAAGCTTATTTCAGCAAAAAGATCCAATTCCTTACCCTACTTGCCCCTTGCCTCCTGTTCCAGGTTTGATAAGCAACCTCACTACTCACCCCGTGTCATTAATTCCATAGCACAAACAAACCTCAGTAATCGGCCAGGGCCTCTGCTTTCCTATGTAGCGTCTAAAGACCCCTTGACCCTGAAGCCGAGAGCTCCAACAGCTCACTGTGCCAGGCAGGGCACCCTCCATGTCATAGAAGATACTCATACTGAACGAGCTTTGCCAGACAACCTCCACAGCCCATTAGCTGTTTCTGTCCCTCCCTCAGGACCCAGAAGTTTCTCCGCAGTAAACCACAGGCAGCTTAAAGGCCTCAATGCAGTGAATACCGTCAGAGCTTCCCATCCCACATCACTCCAAATAATCAGTGCCTCAGAAAAACGTAACCAGGCCCTGTCCTTGGCCCGAGGGAAACAGCAGACCAGGGTGGGCAAGCCCCTACCTGGGCTTGTACAGGCAGCAGGAGAGCCTCTTGGTCTGCACCTTGTGGCCGTGAATGAAGATCCTCATCCGAGGATCAATATAGAGCACGGCAGCATAGGCACGGAATGAGCGCCGCTCTGGCTTCCTGGAGGTGGTGGAACGAAGGAAAGCTGTCACCCACCCGACAACCAGCCTGACCAAGGGTGTAGGACAGCCTCTCTGCAGGCCCTCCACCTTTCCAACTCCCATCTTGGCATCTCTTGCCACTGTGAAGGGGTACTCCCTCAGTGTTGATACCATATCCTGCCCCAGCGCACATCCCCAGCACAGGCACCCCACAGATACCTGACCTGGCCCTACCACTGCCCCACCATGGCTCCAGCAATTCCTCTCCCCTCTCTAGGCCTGTTTCTTCTGTCAAATCAAGAGTTGGAACAACATGGGATCACTAATCTTTTCTTTTGGCTTAGCTGAAAATCTACTGTCCTATTCATCTCTCTGCCTTGTGGCAAGAAGATGAGTTCTAAGCTTCATCAACTTTAAAATTGGGAAATCCAGGGAATGAGCTGTCCTCTCTCCCTAAAGTCACCTCCTGAGCTTTTCTCTGCTGAGAGAATAAAAAGCAGCTCCAAGACTTCCTTCCCTTTCCAGCCACACTCACGTGCCCTCTGGGGAAGTCTCTGCCATCTGGATATCTCTTGGATTTGAGATTATGTCTAGCTCTGGCTCCCCGTTATCCATGAGTTTGAGATTGAAGATGATCACCAGTGTTCCTGGGGAAAAGAAATCCTTTTGATCTGCCAGGCATTCCCACCAACCTCATGGCTCTGGAGCTCTGGGTTTTAGGGGACACATCCTACTTACCAGTGTCACCAGGAATCTTCATGAACTGAGTCATCACTTCCTCCTCATTGCGGAAGGGAGAATACTTGTAGATGAGCTCTGTCTCAATGGAGAACTTCTCCACATTGTCTGTGACAGGGTCCCGGGTCTGAGCATTCCAAGTGGGCAATGGGACTATCACCTTTGGAGTAAGCACAGGCAGACACTTTCAAGGAGACCCCAGAACAGCATTCCCCAAAAACATGCATCTATCTTGACCCTCCCTATAATGGCTCCACACTGCCCAGGGCATGAGGCCCAAGCTCCACAGCCTGGCACCAGAGGTTCTGTGGCTTCTGCCCCTACCCAAGATTCAGCCTCACATTGCTAGGTCCTCTGGGGCATGCTGGGTTATGCCCAGGGGGCTTCTGCATAGGCAACTCCCTGCTTGGGATGTCCCTGGCTATTTTCCTAGTTTGGTAATAATCCTACTCTTTCCACTAAGGAAAATGTATTTGCAATTATCTAGTGAAGTTGAAGATACACATAAACATAACCTACAACTTAGCAATTCCACTCCCAGGTATATATCCTAGGAGAAACTTTTGTACATTTACACCAGCAAACATGTAAGAACAACAAAATATGCACAACAGAGTGTATAAATTAAACTACAGTAATTTGTATAATCAAATACTGTGCAGCGATGAAAATGAACAAACTAATAGCTACTAGCATCAACATGGATGAATCTCACAATGTTAACTGAAAGCAGCAAAATACAAAATAAAAATCCTACAAAGAATCCATTTATATAAAATTCATAAGTGGGCAAAACTATTCAAGAATGTCTACATAGGGTGACAAAACTATAAAAAAAAAACAAAAAAACAAAAAAACAAGGAACTGATGATCACAAAAGTCACCTGAAGGCAGGTCCTTCATAGGTACAATAATTGGTGAGGGGCACACTGGGGACTTCCAGCATCAGTCTATGATGGTCGCTACATTGGTGTGAGCTTTATAATTATTCTCTCTACTGTATATACATTTTAATTCGCTGTTCCGTATGTATGGAATTTAATCTTATGTCTAAGCAACGTTTTTCAAAAATCCTACCTGTGTCAATTATACCTCAATGAAATTGGGGGAAAAAATCCTATTCTTTCTTCAAAACCTTACCTCAAATGCCACTTCCCCAGAGGCCTCAATGTGCTTTTCCCCCTCGACCAGCCAGCTGCCAAGGTAGCCCTAGGGATGGCTGACTGCTGGGATTCCCTCTGTAGAGCAAAGCAGCCCAGGCACCTCAGAGGTTCAAATGAGATGGCCCACCATGAGGGAAAAAGAACTCTATTTTAACAAGTGCCAGGGGGACAAGCTGTTAAGAGTTCTGAGATATCTGCTAGTTTCTAAGAAGCTTCATGCCTATAGTATCCAACCCTAGGGCTGGTCTGGAAACATTCCTAGCCAGCGAAAAATGATCTTATTTTGAAATCTTGGCTGAGTTCACACTAGAGTACAATCCAAAACAGTGACCTTCTAGCACCAAGTAAGGAAAAAATTTCAACCTAGCTTTTTCACCAGGGAATTGAGTTCCATTTGTGTTCTGTGAATTTGTACCTTACTCTTCACCTCCCAATTCTCATAGCAGTCCCCAGTGACAACAGCATTAAACTATGGGCATTCACTTCCACTGGCACCCATTCCTGCCATCAAAACACTTCTCCTTTAGTTTCAATGTCACCATTCTCCTGGTTTTCCTCCCACCCTTCTGGCCGCTCCTGTCCCCTCTGCTGCTTTCTCCTCTTCCCAGCCTTTTAAATGTCGGCATGCCTGAGATCCCAGGTCCTCTTCTCACTCTACACACTCCTTTAGTTGACCTCACTTGCTACCAAGAATCTGGGAGCCCAAGTATCCCCCCGGCTCCAGAGCCAGATTTAACCTTGCGTGCCCAGGATAAAACACTCTTCCCTTTCAAGCTGTCCCTCTTCCATTCTTCCCCAGCTCCAGACAGCCTATCATGCCCAACTGCCACACCAGAACCTGAATCATCCAAAGGTCAAACACCAAATCACACCTGCTAAAGAGATGAAGCCTTCTATTTCTCTCACCCCTCTACTTTGAGTCCCATCAGGCTACACACAGCCAGGACCTTTCAGCTGGTCCACTCCAACACTTCAATCTTTCCAATCCAATCACCACGCAATAACCAAACTGACCTTTTTAAAAGAGAACCTCATACTGCCATATCCTTGCTTAAATTCCCTTTCATGGTTGCTTTTTAACAAAGTCCCACACACTCACCAAGGCCCTGAGGTCAAGCCTGATCCGGCCCTCCCTTTCTTCAGGTGTCCCCTTGGCCAAGTCTCTTCCCACAGCACTCACCAGCCCTAGGGCCTTGAACAGACTATTTTTATTGACTTAACACCCTCCTCCCACCACCCTCAGTCCATAAGGAAACATTCCTGAAAACGTGAGCTTGGACTAAGCTCTCCTGCCCTACCTTCTCCCAGAAGCCTGCTCTTTCCAGCTAAAGCACTTCCCTCATTCCAAGTATGCTGAATGAACTGACACACTCACCAAAAAGGCAAACAAATATACTGGCTTGCCAAGTAACAATGGCAGAAAAAGACAGCTTTTTATTTCCAGCACAAACTAATTTGCTATGATTTAGGCTCACAACAAAACAGGGCCAGTATAAATTTAATCATAGTTAACCAATAGAAATGAATTAGATTGAAACTTTGAATTCACCTATCTGCTGATATGACAGCCATGGATTTCTCTCTGCATACCCTCTCAGCACCTTCTCTCAAGCTCTGGCCTCCATTTGTCACATATGAAAGGAGATAAGAGTCTAGTCTGAAGCGGGGCAGACCAAAGCCTACCCAGCTTAGTCCCCATGAGGGGGCAAAAACCTCACCAGACCACCTCTGCAGATATCTGAGTCACCAGGCCACAAAAAGAATCAACTGAGCATCTGTTTAGCTTATATAGTGAATTAATTACCAAATGTTTTTAAACCAGAATATTGTAAATTCATTAGACCTTCCAACATAGCAATAATTAGCTGGGGCTAAGTGTCAGCTGCCATTTAGCAAAGAACTTACTCCGATGTTTTCCACATACTCACCAGCTTCACTACCTGCCTAGGCCCTGTAGGTGTCTGACTTATATGTTCTGACATAGATGGTTAGAGCAACGTTTCCTCAAAAGGAAAATGCACTCACAGCATATCTCACAAAATCACCATCATAAAAGAAAAACAGTGCTGTTCCTATTATTACTACCAGATACAGTTTTCACCTATAGTCATGGAAGCCCAAAATACTTCCCCTTATAAAACAACAGTCCCTAGTGACACCCCACCAGACAACTCAAGCTGCAGATCGAGAGGAGCTGCAAATCCAACTCTTGGTTCCTGCCCCTTGATAGCCTGAAGCTTTGAGATTTTACTTCCTCTCACACTAAGGATCTCTGTGTTAATTAACCCCTCAACCAGTTCATCCCTCTGGCTAACCCCAATGACAGGGGGCATGGCTACAATCTTGCATCTCCGATGAGCCCAGCATTGCAAATGACCAATGAAAACAGCCTGGGCAGACCCAAGAAATATGGTATGGTGACTCAAATGACAAGTATGGGACCTACTTCATCAATGCCTTCCTCCTCATGAAAGGTACGAGACAGGAAGAGGCAGGTCATGGTGTCATCTTTCTTGGTGAAGAGGATAAAATCTTTCCCGATGCGCATAGAGCCCCTGAAAAGGAAGCAGAAATGGGTTATTCTCCCACGGATTCAAAAGCTCATCTGAAAAAGGAAACTAATCTACCCTCTGGACGTGATTAAACTGCCTTTGGAGGGCTCTTCTAAAGGGGTCCCTAAGTTCTCAGGACCCTGAGCTGAGTTCCACAGTCCTCGTTTCCCTCTCCTCCCATCTGACACTCCTCCCTCTGCTCCTCCATTGGTTTTAGTCTTCGCCTATAACCTTCTCTACCACCTACCCACTGTGCAGGGCTCTCGCACCACCCTTCCAGGCCACATTCACCACCAATTTTCAGCTCTGGGTTAGTGTCACCACCAGGCTATTGCCACAATGATAACAAGTAACCCTGTCACTTGTGTTCCAGGTTTATTTAGCTGCACAAGGGCTGCTATACCCTCTGACTGTGCCACCATCAGGTTTCATCCCAGTAACTGATACCTTCAACATATCATCTTCTATACTAATCACATCCAGTTCTCATCCTATCCTTCCTTCGCTGACAAACTCTACCCTCCCATCCACTCATCAAATGGCAGCACCATCAAGGGAACAGCCCACTGCCAATATTCACAAGTCCTCAAAAAAAAACCAGTATGATCTTAAGGCTCAGCCAAACAAGGGGCTAACCATATAAAATACAATTCTTCATCACAGTTTTCGAGAAGGCTTATAATTGGCTCAGGTCCTATGACTGTGGCCATCTTCTGCCTCAGATTATTTTGTCAGCTCGAGCTCATTTTGACACAGGCAGGTCTCTGCTTTTGGATGCAACTGGTTTCTGGGAAATGAGGCTGACTTCCTCGAGGCAAAAGTCTGAATACAAGCAATTGCTTCCTTCCTTTGTTTGGCCACGTTAACCACCTGAGGAGCAGGCCAGGACAGGCCTTTCCAGGCAACATGGAATAGTTGCCCTGCAGAAGCATGAGCACCCGCAGGAGGACTGCCCACTGAACAATGGGGCTATTTAGCTCCTTTCTTCTGAGCAGCTTCTGGGGCTTTATGGCTATTATCTCATTAGCCCTCATAATACCCTAAGGAGGTGGTGATGGCAGTAAGAAGCCTTATTAGTCTCATCTACATACAGATACAAACCAGGCTGGCATGCCAAGCACACAAATGAATGCCATGTCCCATTTCCCCAGATGCTTAGGAAAACTCCCAGGACACTATCCAGAGACACCCTAGGGGCTGCCAAGTTCTGTTTCTCCTCCTCCAGTTCCCAAGGTTCTGGCAATGCTCCTTCCTGACAATTTCACAGTCCTCCTCCCTCTTCCCTAAAGCTTTGGGTGGCAAAATGAGGCACATTATTTGCCTTCTGTCAAAGCTTATTCTTGCCCTAATTTGGCAAAAACCCTCATTTTGTCCTCTTTCTTCCATCTTTGAACCTGACCTTGGAAGCTGCATAGCAACAACCCAAAAATGTCACCTCTTGCTGGTTTCCCTGCTTCTCAGTCCTCTTTTCACCACAAGTCACTTCCACCTGAAATTCTTTTTCAACTTCTGAATTGGTTTCAAAATGGACCCACTCTGAACACTAGATGGCTCTATCTCAATGGGTCCTCCGCAAAAAATCCTTCTACTAATATGCCAATGACAACACTTCCAACTTTTATACACTTTCCTTCCCAGTTTTCTAAGCACTTTCAGAGTCACATTTCAGCTGTTCCTAAAACTTATTGTGTAAGGGAGAATGTCAGATTAGAATCTTATTTTCTAGATTAAGAAGTAGATATTCAGAGAGGTGAAATGGTTTATCTGAGGCCCCAGAACTGAAAAGACAAGTAGGAGGAGGCTGGCCTACAATCTACATGAGAAGTCAGGGTTTCTTACATCACACTGACTCTAGGAGACTTCAGTTATTGGGGACTTCAATTGCCAGCATCAAAATCACCTAGGGAATCTATGAAAAACAGATTATTAGGCCTTGCCCTAGACTCATTCAATCAGGTCAGGAATCTAACATGGAAAGATCAAAAAAGGAGAACTTTTTTTAAAAGCCAGAAACCAGGCTAGAGCTCTCACAGCAATGATAGCATTTAATCCTTAACCTACTTCGTATGTATTATGATCCCAATTTACAAAAGAAAAAGCTGAGGCTCAGAGAAGTAATTAAGTGGCTGAGGTGAGATTTGAACTTCAGTTTGTCTGACTTAAGTGAGATGGATACAGCTCCAGCTTGGCAGTCAGAAAAGACCTGGTTCATATCTCTGCTCTATACTTGGGCACTTTTACATCTTTGGGCAAATTACTTCAGGCCTATAATACCTCGATTTCTCATCTGAAAATAAGAATAATACCTACGCTTCATAGAACTATAGAGAGAATTAAACAAGACCATTCATTTAAAGTTTTTAGCACAGTACCTGGTACATAGTAAGTGCCTGGTATTACAATTTGATTCTTGCCATGAGAGAAATCAAAAAATCCAGGTACTTGGTCCCTGATGTCTTTGGAAGCACTCTCTTTCTTCCCCACACCCAAAGCATGCTGCATGTGAGGGACAACTGATGCTACTGACTGATTAAACCACCACCCTTTCTCAAACAAAACATTTCCACAACAAGACTAGAAATGTGACTCAGAATTCCATTTGTACAAACTCCAATTCCACCAAAATTTATTCCATCCAAAGGTATGTACAGCTGGAAGTGAGCATTTCAGAAATAGAAACCTTTCTCTTGGGGCTTCACTCAAAACCAGAACAACACATTCCAAATACCAAACAACTGGGAACCAAGGGCTGAAAAAGAAGTCCCAAGGGATTTGAACACATTAGGTAGATCCCAGCTACACAACCCAGCAGGACATGTGAGTAGAGATCGCGTCCTCTAGGAGAGAGAGTTTGGGACTCTCTTACTCATCTTGGATCCCCAGTGCCTAACACAAAGCATGACACATGGCAGGTGCTCAGAGAACACTACCACGCCATGAAGCGACCCCCTCACTATCTCAGATGCATTCCAACCCCACAAAACTACCACTCAAGACCTCAAGCACAATGCAAAATAAGAATTTTCAACAGAAGAATGCAGTAACAGAGCACAGTTTCAAGAGAAACCTACAGCTTCTCCTACCCCAATTGGTTTTGGACATTCTTTTCCATCTGTAAAGTAAACTAGACCAGATAACAGTTGATTAGTCCCCAAATTACTCCTTTCTAACTCTCTCCTGTTCCAGAGTTACAGTGATAGAGGTATAAGGAGAGGAAAGCTTTCATGGGACAGAAGCAGGAGAGCATTGTTTGATTTTGTTTTCAATCCTATGGCAGCTTCTAGTATACTTACGATTTTAACCCATTCCCATACTGCCCAATCTGGGTGGACTCAGGTGTTCGCTTGGCCGACTTCCCAAACTGGATCACACTGGCAGCATCGCCTGAAATGGCAGGCATAAAAGAGAGTGAAAAGTTAGTATTTCTTTCCCAGGCTCCTCAAAATCAAATGTCTGAACTTTGTTAACTCCAAGCAGAGCTATGTGTCTACCGAAAACCTCTGTCCAAGGAAATCACAACCATGAGGCAAATGTAGGCAACTTGACTGGCCTGTCAGTAAATGCCATCGCAATAACCTTGTTCTGTTTTACCCAAAAATGATAATAAGGCTGGGGGGCAGGGAGGAGGAAAGTCTGTAGTGTCGGCTCCAGGATGTTGTGCATCCTGGTAAATATAATGTCAAGAGACAAGGAACCTGACTGACTTCAGGTTGCCATTCAGATTCTATCTCCCATGCTAGGACAAAACCTTGGCAAATCCATCAGTGGAATTAAGCCTGAGATGTTGAAACAGACTCCTCTCGCTCCAGGTGGATCTTCTAGTCACAATAGTGCAGCAATAGAAAAATAAGTTCACACAATATTTTATAAAAATGGTTATATCCTCCCTAAAAGAAGCAATCATCTCATCACTTACT